GAGGAGCTCGTCCTCATCGATGGACTCGTACTTGCTCAGGCCCCTCCGGTAGCCGAAGGTAGACATGGCCCCGCCGCGCGGCCCCGGGGCGCGGGACCAGCCTGGGCAGCCGGACGCCGGGGAGCCGGGGCGGCAGCTGGGCCCGGGCGCCTGCGATAGCCTTTTAAGAGGGTGCTGGGCCGTGACAGTGCGGCCCGGGGTGAAGGCATGGGCTGTTTTAAGCATCAGACGTCAGCTAGACATTTGAACACGAAGAATGTCACCTCAGTGGTGGACCGAGGCCTCCGGCCGGCGGGATTACTCACGCGCGGGCCAGGGCCGGATTTAGCCGAGCCTGACAGCCGGGAGCGCGGCCGCGGGGCTCGCGCGGGCAGAGCAGGCTTCCTTTGTATTGGACCAGGGGGGTGACAGTCACTCGCTACCACACCGTGGCCGTGAAAACATTCATTATAATCTCAGGGGCTGGGGTTGACCGCTCCTCAGCTCTGTGAGCAGTTACCCAGGTTCTCCTAGAAACATGCTGGGGTGGCCCTGGTGGGACAGGCGGCGATGATAACAGAGCACTGTAGATTTTTATTTTATTTTATTGCATTCTGTAGTTTGCAAAGCACTTTAGAACAATTTTCTGAATCACAACAAGTCACGTGAGATGACTAACATTATCCTCTTTTCCAGATTTTGGCAACCAAGGCTCCGGGAGATGAAGTGGAAAATTTGAAGTCAGACAGCCAGACTCAGAAGTGGCTCCTCCACTGCACCAAATGGCTTCCCTCTCACCCACCCAGTATTAGTAAACACTGAGATTCACAAGGAAAACTTTGGAAAGACAAATGATAATACTGAGTGTGATTTATTAAGAACGGACACTGTGCCAGCCTAGTGTTAAGCATTTTCTATATTTCATCTCATCTAATAATACAGTTCTGTAATGTAAATATTACCCATATTTTACTAATATGGACTCAGAGAGGTCAAGTAACTAGCCCAGGGCCACAGAGCTAAGACATGGTAGAGCTAGTATTTGCACTCAGATTTGTGTGTGGGCTGAAAACTGAAGAGAAACCAATTCAAAGTTGTATATATGCTCAAATTCTTATGAACGTGATAAAATATATAGTTTATCACTTTGTAAACATACCATTTTAACACAGAGATAGATAAAAGTCTGTTGAAATATACATTGATCAATACATGTAATATATATGATATTTTGTTTATATATTCAGCAGCTGGTGAATGCATAAAAATATTTGGGTCGTTTCTAGGTATGGATTACTATAAATAATGCTGTTGTGAACATTTATATGCAAGTCTTTGTGTAGTCATGTGTTTTCATTTCTCTTGGGTAGATAGGTATGTCGTTGTGGAATTGCTGAGTTATATGGCAAATGTACATTTAACTTTTCCAGAAACTGACAAACTATTTTCCCAAATGGCTGCACCAGTTTACATTTCCATCAGCAATGAAGAGAGTTCTAGTTTCTCCACATCCTAATTTGTTATTTATTATAGCCATTTCAGTGGGTATGAAATGGTATCTGATCATAGTTTTAATTTTCATTCCTCTAGTAATTAATGATGTTGAGCATCATTTCATGTGTTTGCTGGCTCTCTTATATCTTCTTTGGTAAAATAGTTATTCAGATCTTATGCTCATTTTTTTAAAAAAATACAGCTTTATTGATTTCAGAGAGAGGAAAGGAGAGGGAGAGAGAGAGAGAGAAACATCAATGATGAGAGAGTCATTAATCGGCTGCCTAGCCCACAACCCGGGCATGCGCCCTGACCGGGAATCGAACCCCGATCGCCTAAATCCTTGGTGGACGCTCAACCGCTGAGCCACGCCTGGCCGGGCCTTATGCTTATTTTTTAAAATGGACTGTCTCTTATTGGGGCATATATTTTTCATATATTCTGGACTTTATCAGATATATGATTTGCAGATATTTTCTCCCATTCTGTGGCTTGTCTATTGGTGTCTTTTGAAGAGCAAATGTTTTTAATTTTGATGAAATCCAGTTTATTATTTTTTTCCTCCTATTGCTTGAGATTTTGGTGATATAAGAATCTCTTCCTAGCTCAAGGTCAGAGAGAATTACTCCTATGCTTTCTCTTAAGAGTTTCATAGTTTTAGGTTTTTATATTTAGGTCTGTTACCCATTTTGCTTTAATGTTTGCATATGTGTAAGGTAAGAGTCTAAGTTCATTCATCTTTTTGCATACAAATATGCAATTTTCTTAGCATCTTTTTTTGAAAAGACTATTAAATTGCATTGGTGCCTTTGTAGAAAATTGTCCATAAATGTTGGGGTATCTTTCTGGACTTTTCAGACCTGTTCTATGGATCTGTGTCTATTTTCTTATGCCAATACCACATGGTCTTAATTACTGTAGCTCTGTCGTATATATTGAAATTGCAAGTGTAAGTCTCCCAGCTTTTTTCTTTTGCAAAAACCACTTGGCTAACTATTATTATCTTAACTCATTACGGTGTACTGCTTCCAAAAATAACTACAACTCTTTTCAGTGATACTGAGAGAGATGGTTATAAAATTAGAAATGATGAGTTCATTGGATTTTTTTATGGCCCGCAGCTCATACTTTTGTGTAGCCTCAGTGGTAACACATCTTTTTTTAATGTGAAAAAGGTTTGGTTTTTGGAAATGATGTCAAATCGTTATAGCCAAATCTGGTGAATAAGATGAGTTATTCATCTGTATAATGATATTTTAGGTGAAACAACGAACAGTGATTAAAACTATATAAAAACCTATGTGTATTTTGAAAAATAAGATGAGAAGAAAATAAATGAAAATGATAGCACAGATTTATTTCTTCAACAATTATGTATTGGCCCATATGATATGTGCAAACTTGGGAGTATGTTTATGTACAAAAAAACAGTGGAATTGTATTTTACTCTCCTTTCTTTCTCTCTCTTGTTTTTAAATTTTCTGTAATATTTTAATATGGTTTATATTTCACAATTTATTAAACCCACACTACATGTCAGATTCTATTTCAGGTGCTGGAGATAATGCAGTGAAGAAAATCGACAAAGTCCCTTTCTTCATGGAGCTTACATTCTAGTTGGGGGAGACAGACAATATACAGGGTGTCCCAAAAAATGTATACACACTTTAAAGCTGATAGCTCAACTTTGAAATGAAATGTATGTTAATAAACACTGCCTTTAAAATTATTCAAAGTGTGTGTATATATTATTTTGGGACACCCTATCTCAATGACGAAGTGATACAGAACATATCAGACAGAAGCTCTATAGAGAAAAACAGAGCAGAGAAAGGGGAGAAAGGAGATTGTGGGAATAATAGTTCATGTAGGAAAGGTCCTTGTAATAATGTGACATTTGAGCATAGACCTAGAAAGTAAGGGCTTGATGTGTACAGATTATAGTACTAATTTAATATGATTATAAAATCACATTCTCCAGGTATTCTTAGAATCACAGATTATCAGAATTCAAAGGGACTTTCAACACATGAATCCTCTCTTTATCACTTCTGTTAAGTGGTCCCCGAGTGTTTGCTTGAATACTTTCAGTGAAAATTTTACACTACCAAAAATTCATTCCATCGTTGGATGGCTCAGTCATTACAAAATTCTCATTTCTATTGTGTTGAAACGGATCTCTTGAAAAACCAGCCCACACATTTTAGTTTCTCACTGGAACAACCCAGAATAGTCTCATGTGAATTTCTTCTTAAAAATCTTGGGTGGTTCATGAATGACTGTGAAATGACTGCAAAAGAGGAGACATTAAAGTGTTTGCTCTGTGGCAGTATTATTGGGGGGGAAATGGCCTTTCAAGGACACTACCTTAAAACAATGGCCATTTAGATATCCTAGTATATATGTTAAAATCACTCTGATTATGATAATAATCACAACTTGTAGGGGATCCTAGTTCACTGGATTCCCCCTTTAAATGTTCTCCACAAACTTTAAGTCCATTGACTATATAATTGTGCTGAGTGACCAAACACTATCATCTGACCCTGGCTAGACTTAAGTGTGATGAATAATTTAGATTTCCTTGCAACCTTGTCTATATTGAGAGGGGGGAAAAATCAAATCATATTCCTAGCACCCCAGCATTTTCTATTTTGGGATTTTCACTTGAGCACATTGTGTTTTTGAGCATAATTGCTTTTAGAGTCAATGATACTACAAGCCTTTTCAAGATTAGCATCTTTTGTTAAAAAAAAATCTCTATTGGGGGGAGAATTATTTTCATGGTTACTGATTGGCAATCGGATACACACTACTTCCCATATATTGGCAAATTCCCCTTTCAGTGAAAACAGTGTTTCCTCTTTCAACCTTTACTTTCTTTGGTTTCCTCTTGAAAAGGCTATTATTTGTTTATTAAGCACATGTTTGCCAAGTACCTGCTGTGTGGACAGGTACTGTGCTGGAAGCTAGGATTACATACAGAAAAATAGAAATTGATCTGGGCCCTGCCCCCAGGAGTTCATACTCTGGGGAGACAGGCAAACAACTGACAGCAACAGAGTGCAGTGGTGGCTCTGCCAAGCTGTCAGCGGAGGAGAGAGGTGGAGGAAAGATGAAGCAGTGACATGGCCCACCTGGGAGAAGCAGGCAAAGGCACAGAAGCTGAGAGAGCTTTCCACAGAGAGAGAGGCCTCTGAGCAAACCACAAGAGAATGAAAGTGAAAACAAAATCCAGGCATTATTTGGTGGAGGGGTGGGGAATAGGTGGAGATGGTCAGAATAGTACAGCTAGTTTTTGTGCTCTCTCCCCCCCTTTCTCTCTCTCTCTCTCTCTCCCTCTCTCTCTCTCTCTCAGCCGCCAGTATCATGCCTGGCACATGGTAGATGCATATAGATGTTGAATACTTTTCATTTGAAGGACCGTGTCAAGGAGTTTGGACTTATCATCTACTATTAAGTAGAAATCTCTAACATTATCCAGTAGCCAGCATTCAGAGTCATAGTTTGCCTTCTTAAACTTAGGCAACTCCTAATCCTAGCAAGAGTTGGGAGAATACCAGAGCCTGAACAAGAATAAAACTCATCAGCAC